GCAAGATCTCAGGAGACGTGGTCAAGCCTGTTCACGTCCTCCAGCCAAGGAGGAGGAAGCTTCGGCCCCAAATGCTAATCTGCCCTAGGCCTCCCAGCTGGGACTTGCCCTGGAGTCACAGCCCCATGGGAGCCCCACAGACTCCTGCCCCTTGTCGGTCCAACAGGAAGAGCCTGACTCAAGCATTCATTCATTCATTCAATAGATATTTATTTACTGAGAACATACTGTATATCAAATGCTGAGAACAGAGGGAGATGAGTAATTACACAAGTAATTAATCTCTGAGCACCTTGAGAAGGCTAAAGATAAAAGGGTGGGGCTCCAAGAGGAGCAATTTTGGTTTGGACAGGGCTGAGCCGCCTAAGTGTCCGTTCTTTGACCTGTAGATTTTCCCAAAGGTGGCTACTTCAATGCACTTTCCTGTCCTGCAGGCTCATCATATGACAATGATACTCCTCCACTGAGGGATGATGTCCTGCCCTGAACCTGGGCAGACCCTGATCATATGGTAGAGCTTCCACTGAATGACTTCCCAGGCTAGGTCATAAAAGGCAATGTAGGGACTTCCCTGGTGATTCAGTGGTTAAGACTCCGGGCTCCCAATGCAGGGGGCACCAGGTTCAATCTCTGGTCAGCGAGCTAGATTCCACATGCTGTGTTGTGGCCAAAAATAAAAATAAAAATGATGTAACTTCCACCTGGCTCTCTGGGGATACATGCCTTTGTAGCCTGGAGGGACTAGAAAGGAAAGCCACCTGCCCAAAGTCACCGTGCTGGAGACATCATTGCAGGGAGTGAGAGGGGTGCTCACTTAGCTGCTGACAGGTGAGAGAAACCTTCAAGATGACCCTGATTCAGCCACCAGTGAAGAACCAACTCACTGGAAAAGACCCTGATGCCAGGAAAGATAGAAGGCAGGAGGAGAAGCAGGCAACAGAGGATGAGATGGTTGGATGGCATCATCGACTCAATGGACATGAGCTTTAGCAAGCTCCAGGAGATAGTGAAGGACAGGGAAGCCTGGTGTGCTTCAGTTCATGGGGTTGCAAAGAGCTGGACACAACTGAGCAACTGAACCACAGCAGCCACCCTCTCTCTTCAACCTCATCAGAGACTGGAGTAGACTGCCCAGCTGAGCTGCTCCTGAATTCCTGACCCACAGAAACCCCAAGATAATACATGGTTATTTTTTATTTAAACCACTAAGTCTTGAGGTCCTTTTCTGGCAGCCACAGTAACTGGAATGCTGATGAAAGGTGGAAGAGGTGAGGACATGTGGACAGTAGTTTCTGGACAGAGAAAGCAGCATATGCAAAGGTCCTGAGGTGAGAAGGAAGTGCTGAAATGAAGGTGCGAAGGCTGGCAAGCTTTCCAAAACTCTTCTTTTGATTCTACCTGCATTTCTCCTGTGAATAGGTAATCCTATTTCCTCTCTGTGCAGAGCACCCTTCTGTGTTCGTGCAATTATGGGGCCCATGTCTACTTAATTAAGTAGGGGGGAGGGAGTAGGTAACATTCATTCATTCTTTTAACCAGTAAGATTAAATGCATTACCTGTGCCCGGAGCTTCCCTTGTTATCTCGATGCCTGTGTGTGTGTGTGTGTGAGCTAAGTCGTTTCAATCACATCCAGCTCTTTGCGACCCTATGGACTATAACCCGCCAGGCTCCTCTGTCCATGTGATTCTCCAGGTGAGAATACTAGAATGGGTTGCCACGCCCTCCTCCAGGGGATCTTCTCGATCAAGGGATCAAACCCGCGTCTCTTAGGTCTCCTGCATTGGCAGGTGGGTTCTTTACCACTAGCGCCTCCTGGGAAGCCCATCTTCCAGTGTTAATGCTCCCTCCAGTGTATGGATGAGGAGGCCAAGGTTGAGAGGCGGTGTGCTCACGCACTGCCTTGACAGGTAAGTGGAAGGAAGTGGAATGGGTCCTGAGGCCAGAGTGGCTGGCCAGTTCTAGTTCCCGATCAAGTCCCTCCATAGTTTTTCTGTTTGTTTTAGGGTTTTGTTGTGTTGTGTTTTTTTATTTGGAGTATAACTGCTTTGTAATATTGTGTTAGTCCAATGAAGTGAATCAGCTATATGTATACATACATTCCCTCCCTCCTGAATCTACCCTCTAACCCCCCATCCCAGCCCTCTAGGTCATCACAGAGCACCGAGCTGAGCTCCCTGTGTTATAGAGCAGCTTCCCACTGGCTGTCTATTTTACACATGGTAGTGTGCATATGTGAATCCTACTCTCAATTCCTACTACCCTCTCCTTCCGCTGTTGAGTCTGTAAGTCTGCTCTCTGTATCTGTGTCTCTATTCCTGTCCTGAAAATAGGTTTATTTGTACCATTTTTCTAGATCCCATGTCTTGCAAATAGATGGGGAAACAGTAGAAACAGTGGCTGACTTTAATTTGGGGGGCTCCAAAATCACTGCAGATGGTGATTGCAGCCATGAAATTAAAAGACGCTTACTCCTTGGAAAGAAAGTTATGACCAACATAGACAGCATATTAAAAAGCAGAGACATTACTTTGTCAACAAAGGTCCGTCTAGTCAAGGCTATGGTTTTTCCAGTCATCATGTATGGATGTGAGAGTTGGACTATAAAGAAAGCTGAGCACTGAAGAATTGATGCTTTACAACTGTGGTGTTGGAGAAGACTCTTGAGAGTCCCTTGGGCTACAAGGAGATCCAACCAGTCCATACTAAAGGACATCAGCCCTGGGTGTTCATTGGAAGGACTGATGTTGAAGCTGAAACTCCAATACTTCGGCCACCTGATGCAAAGAGCTGACTCATTGGAAAAGACCTTGATGCTGGGAAAGATTGAGGGCAGGAGGAGAAGGGGACAACAGAGGATGAGATGGTTGGATGGCGTCACCGACTCAATGGACACGGGTTTGGGTGGACTCCAGGAGTTGGTGATAGACAGGGAGGTCTGGCGTGCTGCAGTTCATGGGGTCACAAAGAGTCAGACACAACTAAGTGACTGAACTGACTGATGTCTTGTGTGACTTTGGGCAAATCATTTTCTTCTCTGGGTTTCAGTTTTCTCCTCTGTAAAAATGGGGAGGATAATACTGCTGGCCTCACTGAAATCAAGTCTCAGCTGGCACACTCCTAACAATACTTGCCTTTACTCTGGGCTCATCTGTACATGGCACTATGATACTTGAGACTTGATACTATGATACTATGATACTCGTGAGACTTGAATTAACACACTTCTTCCTTGCAAGGTTGGAGGTGGTGTGACCCAGTTTTCAGTGGAGGCAGAGGTGGGCGAGCAGGGCTCCGTGAATGCTGGTGGCTGATGACCAGCTGCCTTGCCTTTTCCTGCCAAAGAAAATCACATACCTGGTTTCATGGTCTTAGTCCCCTGGATGAGCCCCTAGTTTGCTGCCGTCCCAAGCTAGTCCAGTTCAAAATTCCGTCAGGATTTGGGAAAACAAAGGGGAAAGAAAAAAATACCAGAAAGCCGGATAGGCCCCCACTCTGAGAAAACAGCAGAGAAAGGCAGCTCACAGAGAAGGGGCCCAACCAATTCCTGGGCGTCTTCTGCCCAGCGACCAGGTCTCCCGAGGACGAGTCTTTGCACTCGTGGGGTTTATATTCCAGTAGGTTGGGGAAGGGGCGATACATAGTAACTACAACACTGACAGCAACCAAAACATGCATTTGGTTGTATTTGTTGTATCATGTATTTGTGCCAGCACTGCTTTGACTCATAATTTTCACACCCTGTGAAGTGGATGGTATTAATATTATTTCTCAGTTCACCAAGACGAAAGAGAGGCACAGAGAGGTTAAGTGACTTACCTAAAGTCACACAGCTGATGAGTGGTGGAACCTGGATTTGACTCAGTAAACAGGTAAACAAGTAAATCAAAAATTACTCTGTCCCCATGCCAAGAGCTCATATACATTCCTCATGGATGATATGAGGTTTCCGCCTCAGGGTATGGAGGTTGAGAGAGGTGAAACTATCGGTACAAAGTCTCAGGGTCAGTGGTTGGGGAGGAGGATTTAGAGCTCACTGCCTCTAACTTGGGAGTTGGTCAAGGCACTGCTGTACCTCAGGCTCTTCTCCCCAAAATCTACTTGCCCATTCCAGCCAAAGGCAGCCCCAGCACAATTTGCCTCAAGATAAGAACATGTTCTCATTACTGTCACAGCCCCGGAGCCAGGGCCGCCCTAAGGTCCGGCACCCCTCCAGGCCCCAAGGGAGAAGGGAGGATGGGAGCCTGGCTGCGGCGCCCACTTCCCTGGCCTTGCAAGGATTTTCTCTGTCTCTAGAAACAGATTGAACTGGCTGCCTCCTCCCCAGTCTCACCCCACTGCCCCCCTCCCCGTTGCTCTGTCTAAGGTCACTCCGCTGTGTTCCAAGGCTAACACGAAATCAGAAGGGGTAGGTGGAGGGGGAGAAGGAGAAGGCGCTGGGGGCTGAAATTTGAGATCCCAGCCTTGCAAGGAGAGGTTGGAGAGAGACACGGAAAGACAGAGACAGAAAAAGAGAATTCAGTTGCCTTTGGTTTTCCGAAGCGGGCAGCTTGCGGGTTTGGGGTGTGTGTGTGTGTGTGTGTGTGTGTGTGTCTTGTTTCCTTTCCTCCCCTCTGGCAGGGAGGCCAGGCCTCCACTGGATCATAAAAGGACTCAGAGGCGAGGCAGGCAGAGCCAGCCAGTGCAGGGAAATAGCAGCAGTGTGTGGACACGCATGAGGAGGCAGGAAGGGAAAGGGGGAAGAATAGAGGTGAGGGGGTGGCCGGGGGCGGGAGCGTGCAGCGGTGGGAGGAAGCGGAGCAGCTGTGGTATTTGGAGCAATTATAAATAGCCGCCTGGACAGAGCTTGGCCAAACAGGGCTTTGCAGCTGCGGCGGCTGTGCAGGCAAGCCTGGCCACTGTTGGCCAACGGCGGGTGCAAACAGTGCGCAGAGATAGGTGGCAGACAGGCCCAGCCCCGGGGCTCTGACTCGACACCCCTCACCATCGCCACATCTCTGGATGCCCTCCCGACCAGCCATGCTGCTGGGTGGCCTCCTCCTCATTGTGGCCTCTACAACTGTGGCCCAGCAGGAGGGGCAGGAAGCCACCGGGAGCCGCCAGGCCCACCAAGTCCAGCAGGGCCGATGCAGCTACACCTTCGTGCTGCCAGAGCCTGAGCCCTGCCCACCCGAGCCTGAGGTCTTCAGGGGCTCTAACAGTCTCCAGAGGGACTCCCAGGGGGCTGCACTGAACCTAGGAGAGTGGTCAAGACAGCGGATGCGACAGCTGGAAAAAATGCTGGAGAACAACACGCAGTGGCTGCAGAAGGTAAGGGCTGGGTCTGCAGGGCGGTGAGGGCAGCGAACAGCAGGTGGAGCATCTACCCCAGAGCCCTGCCCTGGACACAGATGACCAGGCTACTAGGGCCCTTGTCTCTGAATTGTACATACTGGAATGATGAGGCCCAGAGAAGGGGCAGAGATGAGCCTGAGACCACACAACGAGACTGAGAGAAGTCAGAACTGGAAACCTAACTCCCCAACTGCCATTCATTCATCCAGTGTGGACAAGTCCCGTCTTAGGAGCAGCAAATGCAGCAATAAGCAGAAGAGTACATTCCCTTCTGGACCAGTATAGGAAAGAGACAATAAAGGGATGAACAATATGTACTCTGTCAGAGGTGAAGCAAAATGAGAAAGGGAAAAAGGCAAGGAGTGACAAGAGGTGGCTATTTGAAGTCAGATAATCAGAGAGGATGGGGCTTCCCTGGTAGCTCAGACGGTAAAGTGTCTGCCTCCAATGTGGGAGACCCAGGTTCAATCCCTGGGTCGGGAAGATCCCCTGGAGAAGGAAATGGCAACCCACTACAGTATTCTTGCCTGGAAAATCCCATGGACTGAGGATCCTGGTAGGCAGTCCATGGGGTCACAAAGAGTTGGACATGACTGAGTGACTTCACTTCTTCACTTCAATCAGAGGATTTCTCAGAGGAGGTGACATTTGAGGCCAGAGAACAAGTGAAGTGATGGAGCAACCTGGGAAGGTTTCTGGGGGGAGGCTATTCCCAGCCAAGGGACCGGCAAGTGCAAAAGCTGTGTGGTGGGAATGTAGTTGGGGTACCTGGGGAACAGCAGCATGGCTGGAACAGAGAAGGAGGGCGACAGAGTGTTGAGGGACAAAATCCAAGAGGTGAGGGGAGGGCAGACCATGTCAGGCCTTGAGGGACACTGGAAGAACTTTGGCTCGTCCTCTGAAGTTCACAGGTGCCATCGCAGGGTTTTGAGCAGGTGAGACACACCTGAGTTAGTTTTAACAGAATAGACTATAAGGGACAGATTTGATGCTGGGAGCCCAAGGAAGAGATCACTGTAGCCACCAGGCAAGAAGTGATGGAGGCGTGAAGCAGGACAGGACAGCAGGAGGGGGTGTGGCCAGTCAGATTCTGGTATATTCCGAAGGGGAAGCTAATGGGCTCTGCTGATGAACTGGATATGGGGTGGCAGAGATGAGGGGGCTGAGGACCCCACTGCCATTTTGACCTGATGCTGGGGCCACTATAGGGTCCCCTGTCCTCATTCTTTCAGCAGATTTTCTGAGCATCTGCTGTGTGCCAGGCTCTAGGCAAGAAACCGAGGTGAACAGAGCAAGTTCAACCCTGGGTGGAGCGAGGAAAGCATCCTATGATGTCCAAGATGGGGAGCAGTCCCTCTTTATCCCATGGTTCAAATTGTTCAAACCATTTGCCTGGTCAGCAAACAATGTTTTGCTCCCCCCAGTACATGCATATTTATTTAGTATTTGTGCACCCTATTAATATAATATGTACAGGGTATGACACAAGTGAAAACTTTGAGAAGATAACATGAAATCACATAAATTAGAGTTCCAGTGGCTTCCTCCTGTTTTCTAAAGGACGGCCTTTTGCATACCGTGGGTTGACCATCTCCCAGGTGGAGAGTTATACTTATCTAACCAAGCTGATTTGTGCACATACTCGAATACACGCTTAAACTCCTGTTTCATTCCTGCCCTGACCATCTATCTCCTCTGCCTCCTATTCACCACCTTCCCATAGTCCCTATCTACTTGCCCCTCCTACCTTGCAACACTTACAGCTGCCACCATCCTACTCTTAGGTCCCCACTCAAGGGAGCTCTTGGCCGCATACACTGGATCGCAGAGGGCTCCATGCTGCCTGAAATCTGTGTGTCTTCCGGCAGCTGTTTCCAGTCCTGTAAGGGTCATGCCAAGCCTCGTCTCCTCCTCAGCCTCCATTTCACCATCCTCTCACCAGACCATGGATCTCCTGCTTCAAAGCATGGGGCCTACCCCACACTTGCAGATTCACCTATGCACCCACCAGTCCCCAGGGCCTTTCTCTAGCTCATGGGCCAAAGTCACTCTTTCACACCTGTGGGTCGCATCCCCTGCAACCCCTGAACCTCCTCAAACCAACCATTCCTCCTGTGTCTCTAACAACTCCTCCCTTTAGGCTGTTCCTTCCCCTCAGTCTTTAGTTGCATTTCCCGTGTTAAAGAAAGAAAGAAAGAGGAAGGGGAGGAGAAGGAGAGAAGACAAGACCCTTCTCCAGCCCATACCTTCTGACTTCTGGCCTGGCTCAGAAGTGTACAAGCTCTGCCTCCACTTCCTCCTCCATCCCATCCTTTCCCTAAGTAGCCTCCCACTTCCCATTTCCTACATCCAGTGGCCACCACTCAGTCTTCATCTTACTTGACCTCTTGGCAAATTTAGTATCGCTAATCAATACCATCCTTCCAGAAACTGTCTCCATCAGCCCGTCCTCATCTACCACTCTGACTGCTTTCCCTACCTCCATCCTGGACCAGTCACCTCCATCTTCTACTTGGATGGCCATCACAACTGCTGTCCTAGGCTCCATTTCCACCCAGACCCTAATAGTCCATTCTGTATTCAGCAGACAGAGGGGTCCTGTTAAAACCTAAGCTAGGTTAGTTTCTCCTCAAAACCCTCCTGGGGCTCCCACTCTCTTTAGTTATTCTTTTACTGAGCAAAAATCCTTGCTCACCCCTCACCCAGACATGTAAGTAGCTCACTCCTGACCCACCTCAGGTCTGCTACTTAGACTTCACCTCCTTGGAAAGGCCCCTCCTGTCCACCACATTTAAAATAGCCACCCTCATTATGGTCCTTTCACCCAGCTTTCGTTTTCTCCCTTAGCACCTACCACCACTTGTTCTTAAAAACATTTCTTTTGGTCTGTGAGCTCTAAGAAGATAGGGGCCACGTCTGTTTTGTTTGTTACTGGGTTCTCAGGGCTTAGAACAGTGCCTGGCACATAGTAGGTGCTCAATACATGTCTGTTGAATGGCTGGATGCACCATGGTCTTCCCATCTCTCAGGCCATTCCTGCTCCTCCCCTCCTCCTGAAACGTTGCTGTTTTCCAGGGCAGAGTCTGTTTGTTGCTTCCTCTCACAGTTTGTGGCATAACCCCCAGGGCTGCCCCCACCTCTAGCACTCCCGTAGCACCATCTCCTCCTGCTCCATGATGACACCAAACCAACATCTGAGGGGCTCCCGACCTCCCCTCTGAGGGCTCACAGGTTCTCAACTCCAAAGCTGCCTGAAACTAAGATCTTCCCTCCCACCCCCCACCCCACCTATTCTGCTGAAGGTAGTACCACCCAGCCAGCAGGTCATCTGTGGCCCTGGGGTGTCCTTAACCCCACCCCACTCCCAGGCAGCAGGTCCTATCCATCCTGTCCCCTCAGCTTCTCAGCTCATCCTCCTGTCTTCCTCACTGCCCTGGCCCTTGTCACCTCTCTCCTGGACACTGCTCTCACCTTCCACCTGCTTTGTCTACCCCAAGCCTCACCCTCTCATCCCTCTTCAACTCCCCTGGGTGCCTGGTGCTTGGATAACATTGGTTGAGCCAGATGATAGATTTAAACCAATGGGTTTCAGGTTAGGAGGTCACCCAGCTCACCTCTTCATCTGGCAGTCGAGTGTCCTCTCCAAATAGCTGTCCACATAGCCTGATAATCCCGGGCAAGGCTCACTATGGAGCCCTGTGGGGTTAAAGAGTTCCCATGTGGGAATCAGGTGGATCTGAGTTTACATCCCAGCCCCAGCACTTACTTGCCATGTGGCTATGGATGAGCAAGGCTCAGTTTTCCCTTCCTTGAAACAGAGACAACAACAGTATGGTAGAGGGTTGGCTGCGAGGATCAGTGAGACCACTAACTCACCCCTCTCAGCTGCATGGGTAACTCACCTGGGCAAGGATGCAGTAGCTGAACCAGCTATTAGTTAATTCAGCATCATCTCTATAGGAGCCCTGCACCACTGGTCCTGGTCAAGTCAATCCAAGGGTGGCAGCTAACTTGGGGCAGGGAGTGTCACTTGTCCATACTGGTGTTCTCTGCACTTCCCAGTCCTACCCGATCTCTACTGGGGTCCAAGCAGAGGTTTGTCCTGCCATCTCCTGAGTGTGCTTGGTTTGCATGTTCCCTTCAGGCCGTTTGGTCTTTGGGTCACCGCCAGGTCAGCCTGTGCCAGTGGAGCCTGCCCCAAGGTCAAACCCCATCAACAGTCACTTTTCTCTGGGTCCCGTCACCTCTTTAGGCAGCAGCATAGCCTGGAAAGTGAGAGCCCCAACTCCGGAGCCCAACTTTTTGAATTCGAGACTCAATCTGCCCTTTTCTGACTGTGTAACCTATGGCAAGTTGCTTCACCTCTCTGAATCTCTGTTTCCTCACCAATAAAATGCAGTGCCAACACTACCTACCTCTAAGAAGGTTTACTGAGATAACGCACATGAAGTCCTTGGCCCAGAACCTGTCATACAGTAAATTCTCAATCAATGTCGGCTGTTTCCATGAGGAACTCTCCTTGGAAAGAAACACAAATCCCAAAATTCTTGAGTCCTTCCTTCCCCAGATAAGACACGGGGCCACTGGCTCAGGGGTATGAGGCACCTGAACAGTCATCTCTCTCCCTCCAATCAGGAATACTTGCTACCTTGTGACCATGACCTTCCTCTGGTTCTTCTCTCATGCATTCTCTTAGTCTGGGCTTATCTCAGAGTCTTTGAAACTTGAGGGCCTCTTTTTGGCTTCTGCTACAATCTCTCAGAAGAGAAAAAAAAAAAAAGAGTTTTAAAATAGTCTCATCACCATTGCCATCAGGGATGACTGGGGAAGACCAGCCTCCCAGACTGAGCTCTCAGCAAGTTTCATTCAGCTGGGAAGTTACGGAGAAGAGCCTCCCTCCCTCGTGTCCCCAACCCCTCTCCCTCTTTCCAGTCCAGTGTACAGATGAGCAAACTCAGAGGCCAGAGAGGGGAAGG